TATATATATATATATATATATATATATATATATATATATAGTATCCTCGATCCTATCCTCCATAATAGTTTACCGCCCTATCGTGGCTTGGAAGTGTTCCTAGATGTCGGATTGCGAATGCAGTGGGGGATTCATCCCGTTAGGCAGGTCTCCCAAGTTGAGAAAGTTTCCGACGTTTCCATCAGGAAGTCCAGCTAGGAGTAAACCAATATCATGATCTGTCACCGTCCTGGTACCAAACTAGTCGCATGGTGGCAAATTTTCCTCTGCTCCACAAAGGTGGCAACTGCCTGTGGTGGTGACGACCTGGAGCAGACTTTGGTCAAGCTGACCTCGGTACTCCAAGGAACCAGTATGGCTAAATCAGCAAAATTCCAAAAAAGTGGAGATTATGCTGGGGCCCGCATAATCTATGTGGATGGGCCATCCAAGTACCCAGGTATCCAAGTAAGTAAGTATTTTTGTTCATATTTAAGCGAAAGTTACTATAGTGTTTCACTGGTTAAACTTGATGAAATAAATCTGACTTGAAAAAGTAAACCGAATATTCGGAGTAAGGGACAAACTAGTAAATATTTGGAGGAACTTGATTTTTCATCAAATAATTTTTAATGCAAGAAAGAAATTTCTTCACGACCACCAACTTCTGATTGAAAAAGAATTTTGAGACCCTCTTGTTTCTAAATGCATAGTAAACGGAGGAAATCTAGTGTAATTTCAGAAACTGTTGCTTCCATCAATTTTAGATATTTGCCCAACGGTCACCAGTACATATTTGAACTAGAGCATCTCGACTATACGCTTGAATGGCTACGTGATGAAGCACTGAAGAAAAGAGAAATGGAGTTGGTTAACAGGCCGCCTGGTTTAATAACAGGTAGTGGGTTTTTTCTTCATCTTATTTTTAGGGGAACACTTCTTTTAATGCAGCGTTTTTAATCTCTGCGGAATTTTCTAAACAGGATTTTAATGATTTTGGTGCTGAGATATTTGTAAAAGTTGAACCGCAGGCCAGATTCGAATCCGCGATTAATCTTTCCAGAAGCTCACGTGTTAGCCACTGCGCCACTGAAGTCGTTTTTCTGCCTTTCTTTCGACCGGTTTCTACACATATTGTGTGATCTGGGAAGCGCAAATCAGTATTGAACCTGTTAATCTGACGCTGTACTAAGAATCAAACGTGTAGCATTTCATTTACTGCCTATTACTTTTCATGGCGGCGTATTATGTGAAATACAACCACGGTGATGCTGAGATACTTGCAAAAGCTGGACGCCAGGCTATATTCGCCAATTTGTGCTCTCCAGATCAGTTCAGTTGACGAGTGAATGCTGATGGTACTGTTAGCGTGAAGAACTGCCTGAGAGAAAGGGAGAACGACGGCCGTAATAGTGCACTGGGTAACACATGAGCCACCGGAAGGGGTAGTCGGGAGTTCAAATTTGGCCTAGATTCCAAGTTTTTCAAACGTCTCGGTATCACTGTGGTTGTCTTTCACGTAATACCGTATCATGAAAAAAGAATAAACGTTAAATAACAACTTATACAGTATTTCAATGGTGTATGTTTTACTAGATTTTGCATTCTTCTAAGGTAAGTTCTTACGTAACCCTATAATAATGGTGCCAATGGAATTTTTCACGCCTACCACACAGTGCGAGGATTAAGCAGCTATGTAGACTTTTTTGTTTATTGGTAATCTTGCATAGGGTTGATAAAATAACTTCTTTTGGCTTTTAGTAAAACCATCGTAATTAAAGTCACATCGACTTAAGTGGAGAATAACTGCTGTACTATTCTAAATGGCGGGTGTAGTGAGATGTTGTAATGTGTTCAAGTACAATTAATGAGACCTCGAGTAAAATTGAAATATCAGTATAATAAACGGCAAATGCTCTTATGGTCATGAGGCGATCATCTCCTAGGGTTTTTTTTTCGAGGTTTTCCTGCTAATACGGTCATAAGGTATCCATCTCTTAGGTTGTTTTTGGGTATTTTCTAAATGTATTTTGTGTCTGTATATGTGTATGTATTGTATATTTGTCCTTTGTTTTTTTTAACTGCTGATCTAGTCTCATTTTAAACTCTTCGAGTGCATTGTGGTTAATGGGGAGTTATGGTTTTGTCACCGTTGGCAATTTTGGGTCTCTTCTAAACAAATAAAATTGTCGGCTAGATTGTATGAAATACCAATCTGGAAAGTTTCCAAAGCGTCTCAGTTCTTAGTCTTCCAACGCCTATGTAAATATTCGTGATCTCATGTGGAACGTTATTTAAAATAACGTTAAGTCCCTAGCGGGACTAATAGTTGTTACCAACTAGACGGACAATGATCTGTTAATAGATTTCATTTATATAGATGCTCACTATTATTATTTGCTGAAAATCGATTCATATACTTACTTTGTGGTAGATATGGAATACGACTTGGAGGATGTCAACGTATTCAACAAACCATTGAACTTGTTCCAGTCAATTGCAAATAGCGGTTGTTCTGAGTTTGTTCTTGTAAGGAAATTCAGTAAGTCTTCCCCATCTTATAGATTGAATATTTTGTGTGTTATTAGTTTTGTTTAATCAAAATCGTAAAGAAGGTCTTGTAATGAGTCTCTGCTGGTTAGGTTCTCGTGGTGAGTTCCATCCTCGAGGGACGATGTTTCGGCAGAAAAGCACTGCTTTGTTAACTCCTATCTCTCGCACGTCTAATAATCTGTCATTATTTGGTGAGTTTAATAAATGTTCTAATTTAGTCACCAGCAAATGTTGCAAGTAACAACTGCAAACAGATGCTTTAGTGGAAGAGGAAGTATAAATGTAACTAGTTTGTATTTGTTTGTAGGGATAAGCTTTAAATTGCAAACCAGACAGTGCTGTCATATTGATGTTCTGAGGGGCCGTATAAAATACGCTAATGGTTATTTCAGATTTGAGCAATGGTCAGGTGACTTCTAGTGAAGCGACTTGTATGTCATTTGACAAGCCTTCACAACTGTTGCTTAGCGAAGAAGACGAGGCTCTTGTCTCTTTTCGTATTAGCCGACTTCATCGCTTGAAGAAGAATTGGCCGGCGATTATGTGTTAGTTACAAGTTTTTTCTTCAAGTGAAGGAACTGTGAATGAAATGCAATGACGATTATTGAAAATATTCTTGATGATAGGGCCCGTGTAGCGCAATGGTCGGAAGCGCCATGCAATACACACGGGATCGATTTCCGCGCTCGTAGCTCACCAACCTTCCATTCCTGCGGGGTCGGTGAATTGGTAGTAGACTTGTCTGGGAGGAAAGCAACACTAGTTCGATACATCGGTAGGCCACCGCGAGTCATTATAAAGGCCAGATACGTATTCGATTACCTCGAAACGATGTTTAATGAAGTTGAATGCATGGCGCATCTCTCAAGGATTGATCAGCACCAAGAACTTTATCCTTTTTTTATCCTTTTATTCTCTATGATCTTCTTTTTCTGCTTATTTTTTAAGTTAAACACTGTCACACTTACAATTGGAAATATCACTGCGTAAGTTTTGAGTTTTTCTTGGTTTTCGGAAATAATTGATGCTTTCAGCACCAGTCTAGAAGTTCTAAAAGGGGCGACAGTGGATGAAGAACAATAGTTCTGATTCATTAGTTTTTCCCAACATTATCTGTCACCTTTGTGCTTATCGTTTTTAATCGAGGATTTAAATCCATTTCAGCGATACGCTGGGATTTATTCGACATTGTTCCTTTAGTCAGCAATCGCGTGTCCTTTCTGCCCAAGTCTTACCAGAAGGTGATATCTGTGCCTTGGATCAACCTGTGCAACGTGAAAACTGTGGATCGAAAAACTTCTGGTGTGTGCATGTTGTCCCTCTGACGTTACATCACCTTGATTTTTTTTTAATGGCAACATCTCTCAATGGTTTTACCTCGATTTGTCGAAAACGAAACTGCTCTGCTTCTTTTAATACTTTTCGTAGATCCTCTATGAGGTAATGTATCAGTGATTCTCTTGTTGAATTTATTTATACCAGAGCAATCATCGGTGTTAGCTCTCACTTGGTTGCCAGTGCTTGGAAAAAAAACCGATCCGTTGGTCAATGAAATCAGTTTGCGCCTCATAGCTCAGGTGAATGCAGCTCACCATAAAATTAGTATTATTCGAAAACTTTCTGTTTCAGGCGTACGAAAACCGAACATGGAAAGTTGTACTGGTGGAGTTCGAAACCACCGAGAAGGCATTACAGGCTAAGGAACATATGGTCGACATAATACATGTTCTCAACTCTCCTGCTTATCAAGTAAGTCCTTGCGACGTTGATTTTTATACATTGTGATTATGATTCTCTTAGAGATAATGTAAGCTGCTCAATCTATTTCACTTTATCCAACAAGGCCAACGGCCGCCCACAATCTTTTCCCCAATCTTGATTCAAACCTCTCTGGATTAAATCTTATAGAAAATTTTCACATTGCACGTTTGTAATCGTTTAACCGGCCCATAGTTGTACTATTATATTTCGAAACGCTACCGTTTCTTTATGTCTAAGCTTGAAAGCGTTTCAGCCAGCCTAAAGTTGTTGTAGAGTAAGAGTTGTTGCAGAGTATTACATGGAAAATTGTTAAGAAAGAGAGAAGCTTTAAACTACTATGCAGCAGCAGTGTAAGCAATGAATGTTTGTTCCATTCGTGGAGTTACTGGCAATTTGCCTAATGATTTGCTCATGTGGCTGATGTAAGTCAGCACAACGCATTGGAAAGATGGAGCTCACTTCCGTATTCCACTTGAGTCGCAGTAGTAGTACGAAGTCTCTTTTGTACATTTTTCACACCTTTTCACCACAAGGAAATGTGCTACGAATTCTCGCTAAAAACCGCTTTAAGGTTTCTCTCATGTTCCAGAATTCGAAACCTAACAGGATAGAGGACCTCAAATCATTCCCATTGACGGGTGATTGCCGATAGCACCGATGAAGTACGAACACGATTGAAAGGAAAGGAAAGCAAGGGTTTCCTATGGTGTCGTGGATGTCACGTGAGCATTGGTAATAGTCGCGGGTTGAAAGCATTCCTGTGGGCATGAGTTTTGTTTATATCTGATCATCGTTTTAAGCACTGTGTGTGCTCACACAACCGACTCTAATTTCATCTCGACGTGATTTATCGATATTTTGTTGCACTCGAAATAAGCACTTTATCTACGAGCTAAGTAGTTTCGATTCACAGGCTTTTTTTTATTACAATTACCTAACGTTCTGTGACTAAAACTGGAGCTAACATCTTTTTTGTTATTCTCGTTAAAGTATTTAGGCCTATCAACACTCGAATGATGGCTCCAGAAGCCCATCAGAAGCTGCAGAAGCCGTCATGATGGAAATGGCCGACGGACTTCTTCCTTTTTCTTCTCGTCATCTTCATAAAGGGTCGGCAATAAAGAGACTTACTAGGATTAGACGAGCGTTGACGACTAGAAAATTGACGTTATGAAAATTCCTTAGTGTATATAGAAGAATGACAATCCCGAGATTAAAAAGGAACAAGGAGACAATGTGATATGGCTCGATTAATGTGAGACCCGGTTGAAAGGAAAGTTTTGCGACACTTGCGCAGGTTTTTCTGCTGAAATCACGTCATATATTTTATTGAGGTACATATTCTGTCCACAAAATAATTCTAACTATTCGTTATTTACTAACATTCCATGTCTGGCCACATCTTCAATACTGTTTGCTCATAGGTTTGCCGATCGTGGGGCAGAACAACGACCGATTTCAGTTTTTAAGATATGTTTGGTTAGCGTTTTCTTCGTCGACGAGTGTAATTTCGTTGTGAACCAGGAATGAGTAGTAATCTGGGGAAAAAAAATCGTGGAAATGTATCAGATATGGCGACATTTTCTAGCGAATTCCAGTAGTTGTCCGGCACATCCTTTTGGTAGTCATTTTCGTCAACTTCTGAAGATGATCAGTGTAGAAAATGATCGTTATGTGGTAGCACTAATTCGAAGAAATACGAATTCTTTCCAAGTTCCACCTATAGTGGAGAGGAACTTTGTGGAAGCCATATTTCCGTTCGTTCATGTAGTGAGAACTTCCTTCCGTATAGTTGATCTAGTTGTCAATAAAAATTGCATTCAGATGATCCCTCCCTAATATTTGAAAAAAGGATAAAGCTCTCGGCGTTGATCAATCCCTTAGGGATGCACCGTGCATTCGACTTTATTAAGCATCGTTGGAGGTGATTGAATGCACATCTGGCCTTTACACGACTCGAGGTGGCCTACCGATGTATCGAGCCAGTGCTGCTATCCTCCGAGACAGGTCTAGTATCAATTTGCCGACCTCGTAGGGGTGGAAGGATTGGTGGGATAAGGACGCGGGGATCGATCCCGTGTGTGTGTTGCAGGGCGCCTTCGACCACTGCTCCACGCGCGCCTCTGGTAAAAGTGGTGTGCTGTTCCCTTTAGTAAAAGCAGTAATTCGCGTTTACTGATACGACTTGCTCTGCCAAAGTCGCTAAACTAGTGAGAGATCCACATTGAATACATATTTGATATCGAAGGTTGTTAAGTGTTGCAAAACTGTTTTTTCAAATTAGTATCTACCTAGTCCGGTAGCTTCAAGCGGGACGTGAAAAACGACTTTTGTGCTAATTGTTAGTCCCGCATTCTCATTTATGATCGGTTTTTCAATTTAATTTCGAGTACTGCTTTGTAATATTTGAATGGTGAGTGTGAAATGTGAAAGATTCACCTGAATTCAAAGATTCACCCGATGTTTTTCGCTTGTGGTTTGTTCGAAAAATTGTTTCAATGTGTGATGTTGAGCTTCAATGAAATGTATGTCAGCTCACAGTGAGCCTTATTGATTAAACACCGAGAAACGAAGCTGTCTATTGTATCATAGTAAAGTACTAGGCTGTTGAGGTCCGTATAATTTCCGGAAATGTTTTCATCAGTGGCTTAGTTGGTGAAGATACAGATAATTTCAATGATGCTGAAATATTTGCAAAACTCCGGACCGCAGGTGTATGCGGTGGGGAACGAACGCGCTATTGTCCTTTCCGGGGAGTAACGCGTTTACCACCACACCGTGCGGGTCCTTCGTTTCGCCTGTCTCTCAACTAGTTCTATCGATCTTTGCCACAGCAATCACCCGTCAACGGGATTGATCTGGGGCGCCCAAATTGGCAACGAGTCCAATTAAGCTGAGGCCATAGTTATAATCACAATTTTAACTTATTATTTTCAACCTACTGTTTTTAATGGCAAGGTATATTGCGAAGTATAACTTCAGTGTTGAGATATATAACTACGGCCTCAGCTTAACTGGTGTTCCGTTTCGAAGACTGACTTAATACCTTTTTGAATTATCAAGCTAATACGATGTTGGTAAAAAGGTTTATTTAATAGTGTAGGAAAGAAAGGCATAAAGCCTTTTCGGAACCAATGCGTCGATACGCTTCTGGATTATCAAGCTGACACGAGGTTGGTGTCTATTGGCTAACGTTTGGACGTCTTCGTCTTCATCAGAGCCGATGATCCGAGCCGATGTCCACGGCCGTCTAGCACAGAGCGAATAACTAAACAATAATCGAGAAGGTGAATAACTAGACCGTTGCCGCGGATCATCGGCTCTGATGAAGACTAGACATCGAAACGTTGCCGAATAATCTATCAACATCATGTAAGTTCAACAGTTTACATAGGTGTTGATTATTTTACTACCGAGATTAAATGATGGTCGGCTAAGCCGACCTTATTTCGAAATATTTTATAGGTCACAATGTTTTACTTTTTATTTTCTGCCTGCTACAATTTTTACGGTAGTTTATTATGCGAAGTACAACCCAGTAGCTGCGAAAGTCATGCTTTATCGCATTAACTCCTATCACTGCAAAGATACACTCAGCGTCGTTAGGTATCTGTCCATTCACTCAAAGACTGTTACATTCTTAACCTTTCTATTTCCTGCCTACTTTAATTTTTAACGGCAGCGTATCAAGTGAAATACAACTAAGGTGATGCTGAGATATTTGCAAAACTGCGGACCGCAAGTGTCTGCGGAGGGGAAGGAACGTGCTATTGTCCTTTCCGGTGAGCAGACACCTGCGTTCCGGGGTTTTGCAAATATCTCAGCATCATCTGAACTGTTATAGTCTTCAACTCGTCGCTTCCTCACTCCAACTTGTAAAATACAGTATTTAAGCAGTATTAGCACTATAGTATTAGTAAGGTATTAGTTACGCGCACCGTGTTAGAATGGCAGATGCCTTAAACGTGGGAAGTGTCCTCACTACTTCTTTTCACGCAGTCATTCTAAAAAGAGGTATTAAAGGGCATCTAACTGAATAGATTGGGACAATTCATGAATCCGGAAATAATTGCTCTTTGTGATGATGCATGGTAAGTATTCAAATTAGTGAATAATAACAAAGAACATAAACTAGCTGAGACAGGCGAAACGAAGGATTCTCATGGCATGGTGGTGAACGCACGGACTTAAACGGTAGACAAAAAAACGCATAAACGCAAACATAGAAAAAAACATAAACGTAAAAAAAAAAACAAAAAAAACATAACATAAAAAAAACATAAAAGAAAACATAACATAACATAAAAAACATAACAAAACATAAACATAAACATAAAAACATAAACATAACATAAAAACAAAAAACATAAAAAACATAAACATAAACGCACGCACGGTAGACACACGGCATTCATACTGAAGATCACTTAAGTAGTAAAAGAAGTTTAGAAAGTACTCCATTAGAAGCACAGATTGAAATTTATCGAAGAAGGAAGCAGATGCCTGAATTTGTCGTAATGGCCATGAAAATCCATGGTAACTTACAAATCTAGAATCTCGCAGTTTTGAACAAGAGCGCCTCTTTTGGAGAGTAGCAAATTGAAACAGACCATATCATGAACTCAGTTGACATAGCTGTTGTCCGACAATGTGAGACGATCGCCTTCTTCGCGCGAGATTACACAATTCGCGTAGATGGAACCTCGACGCTCGAGAAACCGAGTCTCAGATCACAATAAACTGAAATTTTTTCAGATCTTTAGTCGGTTATAGAAAGATGTTGTCACTGACAAGATCGATTTAAAACGCAACCACTTATTCACATTTCTACATTGCAGCTATAAAAGTCGGGATGCGAAAGTAACCTTTTCTCCAGGAAAATTAAAAGCTGCACGCGTGCGCACGCAATCGCACGAGTCGAAGATAATCGCTGTATCACGTCCGAACTTACAAGGCTTTCCAGAAAAGTGATGAAAAAGGTTTTGAACGAAGAAGAACATTATTTGTGGCTAAAGTTGGAGAGGATGTACAATGCCTTATGATCCCGAGAAGTTTTTGGCAACATAATGGTCATCGCGAGGCGATTGAACACATGCTTGTTCTTCACAGTGACCTGCGTGAAACACCGATTCGTGAAATCTGTGTTTTCACTTCCATGCACTATTCCGGTACCATTCTGCCAGCCCCGGAGAGTTGGAGAGTCGCTCATATGCTTGAGAACAGGTTAGAACCAAAAACCACGTGTGCATTGCAGAGCATTCCCAAGTATTGCTCTACATGCATATACATGGTGTCTTATTGAAAAAGACGGAGCTTGAGTACGTAGCCCAAAGGAATTGACTAACACCACAATCGAAAACAATTTTCCCCTTTGATGTGGAACAAAAAGTCAGATTAATGTAAAAAAAATTATTCGAATTGGACTAGAACTGTTCGCTCAAGATGAGGAAAATTTTGTCGCCTTCCGACGATTGTTATCTTGTCGAAGAAAAGGCATTAAGACTGGCGATGATGACTTCGAGCTGATAAAGCATTTGTTATGGCTGTGGATTTTCAAAAGCACTAGTTGGATTCATTCGGTTGAGAACGTACGTACAGGTGGCACCAAAAACCCGAATCGGCGCCGTTTACTTTTAGCTTGGCTTCCTGTAAAGAAGACGAACCTGTGCACTGCTTGAGTTGATCTTTTTTTTGAAGTCACTGATTCTTTGTAATTAGATCAGTCTTGGTCTTTGCACAGATGAAATGAGTGTTATCGACATTGATAGTATGAAGCCAAGTGGGGTGAAAGTATATGACTTGTGCTGACACCTCATTGCTCGTGCTCTTCACAAGAAGCTGATTTATTTTAACTCGTTTAACCTCAAAAGCATTCCATAATTTTAGCGTTCTCAGAAGTCTTTCAAATAACGGGTACAAACCACAGTGAAGTTAATTAAAGCCAAACATCTCATTTCTTTTTGCAACCTAAAGTCTGTCACAACTCATTATGAGGTTAGATGTTATGTAATTCACCTAGTTTTTTCTCAACGACCTCCTTTTAAGTGTATTCGAAAACTCAGAGTTTAAATGATCTCACGTATTTCTTACTACATTCTCAGGTCTATGCTATGCGAAAATGCTACGCCATCTATGCCAAAAAGAAAAATAGTTGTTTAGCAGATCAACTCAAGC